CACGATCAACTATTGGTTTTGTATGCATTATGCGATGAGTTGTGCGTTACTTTAATTAGCAACGTTAGTTACTCATTTGACGGTTTAACGTCACCTGAAAGCTCGGTTTCGTTTTCAAAGCTTGCCTTGACACGATCCATGACACTAACGACAAGAGAAATTGCGCTTCGGTGCAGCTGTGCGCACTTGAGCCGAGACGATGCAAATGGGTCACTTCGCAAATCGTTCCATTAGGATGGATCACGATATTTCGTAATTTGATTATCAGGGGGAATGCGTCGAGAAACATAGCCATCATCAATCGGATTTGAGATCTTCATCATTCAAGGGAAACTGGAAATTATATTGGGTTGTTCGGAAAGTTATTTCGTTTTTCTCCTTCGTGAAAAGGAACAATTTTCTTATATTGTGTAAATATTTTATTGAATTGTGTACTGGTCATTTTGGTCCAACATTTTTTGCCATCTTCCTGGTAGTAGCATGATTCCATGCTCGTAAAATGTCTGACCTTTATTTATAAAAAACTGATGCAAGTGATTTTTGATATCGTCGCTTTAAGCAAATGTTTTATCGTTTAAGAAATTTTTTAAAGACCGGAACAAATAATAATCCGATGGTGCCGGATCTGGCGAGTATGGTGGGTGTGGTAGCACATTGAATCCAAACTGCAATAGCTTCTGACGAGTTACTAAACTTGCGTGAGGTCTTCTGGCATTATCATGGCGGAACCCAAATGTCGAGTTTTGAAACGAAACTAAGTCGTTTCATGTGATCACAAACGGTCGAATTCGACAAATTTAACCTTTTAACGATTTCTCGTGTTGTTATTCGTCGGTTTGCTTCAACCGATGCCTTCATTTCGCTTTCGTCGGCTTTAACTGACCTTCCAGAACATGAGCCACCTTCGATATCAAAATTGCAGGAGCGAAATTTTGTGAACGAGTTTTGGCACTGCCATTCTGTTAAAACATCTTCTTATTCTTGCTTGAACAGCGTTCTTACCTTTTCGATAATAAAAAAGCAAAATATGCCGAAAATGCAGTTTTTGATTTTCCACATTTGACGGGACACCAAAGGAACACAATTGCACAAAAGCAAACAAAATTTTTTACAAACAAGCCTTAAAGTGTCAGCTGTGAAAATATATAATGAAAATACGGTTTAGAATAAAGTTGGCTGGTTAAAAATACAATTAACGTCTGTGTTGATAAGAAAACGAAATTACTTTCTGAACAACCCAATAATTTATTCGTTCGAAATGTGCACAATTACACACCGTTACGCGTCTTTTAATATAAACAGATCATAATCTTATCTCCAGCAGGAAACATAAAACTTAAACGTCGCTAACTCGCCGATAGTAATTCAAACAACCCGAAATAAACTAAAACCAAAGATGTAGTATTGAACAGTGTCGAATTCGTTGGAAATGAAAGTAGATCAAAGATAAATTAAAATTAAGTCATCGAGATGGACACAATAGAAATTCACGAAAGTCACGGGGTCACTATAAAAAACGGACTTCCTCAACATGAGTGACAGTTCCAGACCAGTTAAGTAAAGTCAAAAGTCAAGATTAGTTAGCAGAGCAGTTCGTCAAAAAATTCAGTCCATATATAGTACAGTTAACCCAGGATGATGTTTATACACAAGAACATTCGTACGTTGTGGATGAACAGTTGAGAACCACTGTTCTGTACTGAAAACGGATGCAAGATCATTAACGATTTTAGTGGCAAAATCTCGTAAATGATTGATCATAATTGCATGCCATTTAGACCTTCGAATTTGTCCTAGATCGTAACTTACGGTGAATTTAAAGAAATATGAATTTTACTTTGAGGTCTCAGCACCTAATGGCCAGGAAAAGAAATCTTTCACTGTTACATCCTTCTTCTTGATCTAGATAAACTTTGTATAATTTTCTCGCAATATTAATAATCTGAAACGCAACCGAGAGTAAACGTTTAAATCCGACACAATGTATAATTACACGCAAAATAAATGGGTCTAGGTAAATTAGAAATTTCTAAGCAGAGTATTGCAATTAAATTGTTATACTTTTGATCGAGAATAATATTATACCGTGTCATTTAAAAAAATCGAGTTAACCTTGAAATAACTTTAAACAATACGAATAAAAGTGTTACTTTCGTCCCAAAATATTTTATCTAAATAATAGAAAAGATTGTCCCTGTACCTATATCTTATAAAATTAGCAGTTTAGGCGTAATTTGAATAAGTACTCATCTCGAGATACACTGTATACAAGATGATTTAGTTTTTGTGTACATAAAATTTAGGATAGTTTATGAATAAATAGAATTTGTCAATGCGTTGTTAGGTTGATTGCCGTGTTAAACGATAAATGGTTTCTGTGCGTATAATGAACTTTCCATACCTATCATTTCGCATCGTGATCATTTCATGATTACTTTCAATCGCCAGTTTCATTGTGCGGGTGCCGTTGAAAGCCGTTTTCATTATTCTCACGTACAATGCTCAGATTATACCATAATAAAGTCTAAATGATTTTAATAGATTCACGGTTCCTACTGCGTCCTTTTAATCATCTTCTTCAGGGTCAGCATCAATATGCACGAATTTATTTTACTATGGTACACGTACGATCGAAGAAGTTCTGTATACATCGTTAAAAGGTTCAAATCATTTTGTTCAATATTTACATTAATGCAAAATTTAAATATAAATCAATGTCAAGCATTAAGCAAAAGGCATAACATACAAGTAATATATCGGGTGTCCAAGAAGAAAATAAGGTGTAACAATGTAACACGTTCGCTGAAAGAGTAGCGATCCATGTTGTACGAGTTATGAAATTATTAGACTTGTTACTTATTTATCTGCAATCAGGTTACAGTAAATATTGTGCCGAAAGCAAACATAGTTCGATAACACCTATCTTATCATTTTCACTCGATACGATCGGCGGACAATTCAATCGAGATAAAGCGTAAGATAAATTGTTTCCGACATATTTAGAAATCGCAAGAGAAAGAGAATAACGTTTGAGATTTGCATCCTTGTTATTCGTTTGTTCGCAATGACTCGACGATTAAAAATAATTATGACAAAGTATTGTCATCGCCAGTCGATCGGCACTAGAAAAAATCTAGTAACTTTTTTTTTGAATGTCGAAAATTTATTCGATTTCATCATCCTAAAAGAAAAAGTTGCAACTTGTTTGCACTTTTTTATAATATTCAATGTCTCCGATTATGCACAAATTATTATTAATAGTCCTCAAATTATCGCTTGTGCTTCATTACAAATTCAGTAGGCAAACGAAAAACACAAAAAAGCTCAAAATAAAGACTTCGAGCTTTGTCGAGAGAAATTTTCGAGGAAATTATCTCTTCTTATTATTAGCTTCTTATCCTACGCAATCTAGCCTTCGACGATTGTCTTTAAAAAAATCTAATGCTATACCTACAGAAACTTTATTGATGTTATCACCACAAAAATCTCAAAGCATAAATGTATAGTCTGACAAGTCTATTACGTTACATAATAACAAATTAATTGTAATGAAAGCTATATTTTCATTGTTTTTGATTTTTTTAAATTATTTTATATTCCCATTCGCTGATTATGAAATAATTTATCAAAAAATCAAGACTATAAAATTTATGCCAGATTTTTAGTGTTCCTGCCTCGCTGGGCGTCGGAAGGAAATGATTTTGTCGAAAGTTTGAACGGTAAACAAAATTTATACATCGTATGGTCTTATTATGTAAAATTTACAAGGTCGTGTCTTCGTCATCGATCGAAATACAGTCGTGAGTCGTTCAGTGGAACGCGATATCGTATTTATTAGCACCGTTAGACTTTTTTCTTTTTTTAGTTGCTTATTGACAAGATAACCAATAACTGAAAACGAATAGCGCGATCCGTGGCTTCTGCATTATCGATGTTGACGCAGCGAATCGTAATCGGTATCCACTGAAGGAAACTAGCAAGCGCTACAACCAACGCGTTAAAGGAATACATATGTTGAATAATAGAAGCTCGCGAAAGCGCATGAATTTTAATTTGAAACTCCGGGTTGAACCAATTTAACTTGCAAACGCGAATTACCTGCACGATAGCTGAATAATGTATTTTCGTGATCTTATGTGTGATGAAAAACATATTTTAGAAAAATATTATATTTCATTTAATTCTAGTCAGTTTTCTTCAAGATGTAAGAGAAGTGTGCCGCTCATAAAAAATCGTCACAGCAATGTTCTATCATGTTTGAATACTTATTTCGTCATTTAAATATTTTATAAACATTGCATAATGCAGTATTATCGTAGCGTCAGTAGGCTTACTTAGTTTGATTAAATACTTTATTAAGATCGATATAGAACGCTTCTATTGCATACATTGGAATAATATTGGCACCCTTAAATAAACAAATTAGAGATGAGCTTTGTTTCATCAAAGGCAAGATATCCCACAATTTACCGACTTATTGCATTTTACTTTTTACAACTTTCTATGCACGTTCCAATGACGCCTACGTAAACAGTAAACCTGCATTAGCAATATACGCATTCAATTAGCATTAGTCAGCACACATAAACACAACAATCGGTGAACATTTTATAAGTCGAAACGGTTGTTTTGTTCACATTGTATCTTTTCAATGATAACTAAAAGAGTAGAATGTTTATTTAATAGCGCGCAAGATACATTTTTTAATGTACAAAGTATATTTATGCTATTATGATTATAAATCACACATTTGGTCCCGTTCAGGCCTTAATTTAGTATCAGTTGTTTAACGTTTGAATAAAAAAAAATGGAAATACAATTTCTATGTACTCATTGATGAATACGTACAGTCAAAATTGGCGCCACGCGCCGTTTCTCAACCAATCGTGCGCGTGGGACGTAGGGTGCAGTGAGAGGCGCGAAGTTTGCCGTGCCATTCGAAAGTATACGAAGTTGGCCGAAGATATCCGACCGTATACGCGACTCGGCACAGTCGACCGGCGAACCTCGTCGCGGTAACGTGTTTTGTGTTTTTCGTGAACGGTGTCGCACGTTGGATCTTGGTGACGTTTGTGCTCTTTCTTCTGTTCGTCGGTCAGTGTCAGTAACAGTGCACGTCGAGATCATGTATATTTGAATCAACTTGGTAGAAGTCGACGATCAAAGAAACTTGAAACTCGAAACTTTTCACCTGTTTTGCATACCATTGCGACTTGTCATCTGGACGCACTTACGTAAGTCTCATAACTTTGATCATACTGTACGCATTGTATATTATCATTATTATTATTATAACGATTGTCAGAATGTATTTTCCGAACGGCTCGTGGTACTTTATATGTAAGGTTTCATCGCGATGAACGGTAAAGATTCAAGCGGCCGGTATCGATAATCGAACGGTCACGTTGGCGACGTGCCATTGCGCGACACGTTGGTAGATTGATCGAACCGTTTTTAATCTATGAAACTATGTGATGCGTAAACGATATATTTAGAGTGACAGTTTTCATCCTAAATTCTACAATTTCTTACGATCGTTCTCAGACTCTGTTACGGATGTAAGTCGAGTAGATGCAAAGGCGCGCGATATACACAGTGTTCGCGATAATTTAGACCAGCGTTTTTTCTCGTAAACGGTAGACACTAGAGAAAAATGGAAGAGGAGAAAGTTGTAGTGTATTTTACTGACAATATGATAGCGTGTTCCAATTTTTTGTATTTGCAATATTTTTTGAGAAACGAAAGTGACCTTTACTTTTTTAAATGGAATGCTACATGGTTTTTTATCATATGAGAGCATGCATTGAGACGAATTCAACCATGTAATATAGTATGACCTTCAAGGTCAAACAAGGTCAGAAATAAAAGAAATAAGTCTAACATTTTATAATACATATTGTATTTACTAGTATGTTAATTTTTCTGATAAAACTATATCGTGTTCAGTATGACTTCCATTAGTAAGAACGCATTTCTAGGTTTTGCTGATCACACTCTTACAATTAGTAGTTTCTACCAATGTTGCACTGGATATGGATACACACGCTCTTTTTATTTTAGTTTGCAAGTCGTCTAAATTTCTCGGCGATGTAGTGTAAACAATATCTTTAATATTCCAACGAAACGAAAGATACACGTTTTTAACAACATTTTTTAGTTTTAAAATAATTCCTTAGACAGCACAATGCGTCTAATATATTATCAAGAAAAATACTTCATTTTTCAGATGTTGATTTGATTATATGTAAAACATCCAACAGTTTTTTAACTGTAATAGGTTTTTTAAAAGGTTATATTTCTTTTGGAGGATCTAAAAGTTTTTCAGTATCAGTTCAAATAATCTGATGATTACTATCATACATTCTAAAAAGCCTGCTTAGAATTTATTTTACCTTTTTATAAACATAAATATTAAATGCAAAAATGAATGTTTAGTTATGGCTGTTTGAAAATTGGACCATTTTTATGGGGTTTACTCAGTTTACGAGTGAAGGAACAACTTTTTCAATATTCTTAGAATTTCTACATATTCTTCCCCAAAATACGCGTTGTTTGCATTTTGAAACATTAAAATCCTTCAACCCACTTAGAAGTTATGAAGTTTTAAAGATTTGCATGAAATTTTAGGGCAACATTTCTAACCTCACATTATATTTTCGGTAAGGAATTTTTTTCTAGAAAGTGCGTAGGATTTCGGGGGTATGTCTATTCACCAAAAATGATTGTAATTGATCCTCACAACCAAAAATAATTTTTCCGTGTATGATTTGAAATTTTTTAATTTAATTTTTTAATAACTTTTTAACGAAGCCTCAATCAAGAAATTGATATTCTTGATTTTCGTCTTATTTTAGTTTCTAGAATCTCCCATTAAAATTTTTCTCAGGGGTGGCCGAACACCCTGTATACATATAAAACAGTATAAAGTCGAGAATGTACTTGGCGATCAATGAAGTGAAACTCCCGCGTAGGAATTTCATTGTCGTCTACCGTATCGATGAGAAACACGATTGAAGGTATTCCTGCTTTTTAATAACGCGAGTCATTCTTGGAAGTATATATAGTATATACTTTAGCGATAAAAATTGCTTATCATGGCGTCATTCGTTAATCCTGGTATGTAAATCTTTGTGTTTCTCTGTGTGTTTAATGACATCGAAAGTCGTAAAGATAAAGGTTAGGACGAGAAACGGACGAAGTTCACGAGAAGAGAAAAATAACACGGCGTGTGGTCTTCTTTTTGTTTTGCTCGGACATAACTTTTGCTCTCTGATAGCGTTAACATAATGCAAACAACGATCCACTCGATATTGGGACGATAATTTTGGAAAGGTCTGAAGTAGCCAAAGTTGAATAGACTAAGACTGGTAATTTCTTGATTGTGTATTTTTCGTGGACGAGTGATACGTGTCCATCATAGCATAACGTTAGTAACTCATGCACGATCGTTTCGAGCTGCGATTCACTGACCTACATGACGCGTATAATTTAACTGGACACGGTTTCGGGTTCTATTGAGTTTACGACCTTTTTAACTCGATTCTGGGATCTGTTTCTTCGTTCTAATAATGGAGGATTATTTTTACCGCGGGATCGTTGCTGTTGAATTTTTTGCGATTGTCGCGCTGTCGGACGGCGCACGTGAAAAATTTGTACGAGCATTCTACACCCTATAAATTGAACGTTTTTCGTTGTTTACAAATTTTATGTACGATTATTTGCACTATTTTAAAGAAATTATCGCACAGTGAGTTGTGCTAATAGGTCAACGATCAAAACAAGGATTAGTCGAAATACAAATTTCTTGCGCAAATATCATTAGAAACTATAGATTACTGTCAACATAATAAAAAAAACAATATCTTTCTTCGATAACGTTTTAATTAATCTCTTTATTGTCTCATAGATTACACATCATGTTTAATGTTCATTTATTTGTTTAATTATGCTGTTTCCCACCTTATCATGAGTCGTAGAACACGTTTACGAATTTTACTGTTACCAATAGAAAAGTCGCATCTCCCCAATTTTTGTTCTCACACAAACAGATCTTTATCACCTGATTTATTGGTTGTTAATCATTCTTCGTCTTTTTATACTTACATAACTACAAGATAGGTTTTTTTTTAAAGAAGTCGCGCTTCGCGTTTGAGTAGGTACGCAATGTTTATTCTGCCTATCAATTTCGAAGGAAACTTATCAAACATCTATACGATGTTCTTCTTTTTTTTCTTATATAGTTGTACACTTGACGATAAAATTGTTAATTGTACGCTTTACGGTATGTTTAAACGCGAACGTGCAAACGAATGACCTCGAACGTTTTTAGGAACGAGAATATCTTGAGGCAACCTACTTCGCGGTACGGAACATATTTTCGAGAGAATTGTTTGGAAATTCGTTGTCGATCGCGACCCCCCCGCCGAAGAGAACTATTAAGTTTCTATTTTTACACGTGACGAAGGTTCTCAACCGCGGAGAAAGAGGATTCGCATGATTCTCAATTTCTATTTTTTATCCAATCTCTCCCTATTTTTCCGTTAGCTGCAGTATTTCATAGCTAGATGAAGATCGAATCGCATCGGAAATCGGAATCGCGTCGAAAAGCATGCGGTAGAAACGCGTTATTATCTTTTAGATACCATACGTTTTGCTCACGTGGAGAGACGAGGAGTCGCGCACGTGACACGTTCGGGATAGCGATAGCAAATAAAAGAAGCCAAGTATGTATTTGTAGTTGAGAATCTCTGGTATCCGTGACTCGGGCTCGTGGCACGAGTTACCGCGAAATAGCCGCCGCAAGGAACACGTTTAAGGATGTGTGTTCGTAGATTTTACGATTGCAACTTCCAAGCAATGCACGGAAGTCCCAATCGATACTTCCATAATTACCTGTGAACACGAAGGGATTCTAAGGTATTGCGAGGAAAAAAGAATCCGGCAGTTGGAAAGTTCAAAGTCGTTTCTGCATTTTTTCGTGAAATGTAAAAGGGGTAGAGTGCTGCGAGGGTCACCCATGATCCATGGCGTTTCGAGGAAGAGTAGCACGGCCTTGGAGCTTCTGAATTACGTTGTAAAAATCAAGTGTTAAAGTAGTCTAAACATTCTTTGATCGAGATTTTAACGTAGGAAGAATAGTCCGCAGGGAATAGTTAAGAACAGTAGCGCTTTTCTTTAACACTTTAACTGCCACATTATCCATATACAGTAAGTCACAGCCAAAATCGTACATCACATACAGGGTGTTCGGCCAACCCTGGGAAAAATTTTAATGGGGGATCCTAGAAGCCAAAATAAGACGAAAATCAAGAATACCAATTTGTTGATGGAGGCTTTGTTAAAAAGTTCTTAACGTTTAAAGTTCTGCCCGTACTGAATTTTTTTCTCGAAAATGCGCAGAATTTCGGGGCTATGTCTATTCACCAAAACTTCTTGTAATTGACCCCCGCAACTGAAAATAATTTTTCCAGAACGATTTGAAATTTTTTAATTTAATTGTTAATGACTTGTTAACAAAGCCTCCATCAACAAATTGGTATTCTTGATTTTCATTTTATTTTGACCTCTAGAATCCCCCATTAAAATTTTTCCCAGGGGTGGCCGAACACCCTGTATATGAAAATGTTTCATTCTAAATAAAAGTTTTGGAATGTTTAAGCCGCGTCCCCATTGAGTCGACTTCTGCCATTCGGCACAGCCGATCGGTAATGCCTAAAATTGCGTCTCCACTGCGTCGGCATTTGTCATCTAGTATGGCCGATCGGCACCCTAAGCACTTCTCGCCAAAGTCAAACACTCTAAAGACCTGCATCGTCTTGGATTGCATGGCTTGAAAAGCCGAATGGCATGCCGACGCACAGCGGGGCCATTGCATGCCAAACGCGGCAAAAAGTGGTTTTATACAAATATACCTACAATGAAATAATGATTCACTAATAGTTAATGGGACACATGGGCCATGATTTAGTGTGATTTTTTTTATCATTTGTCGATTTTTGATACGACTACATGATTTTGAAACGTTCAATCTTAAAATCATCCAAAATTATAATCATCGTTTATTGTTGCTTTGATTCTTCAAAGTAAATGATGAGTAATTGAATTAAATGTACTTAGTACGTATTTAAATTACACCAAAGTACACTTTTATATCTCCAATATTTTTTGAGTTATAACTAATTGAACATGTTCAGTTTTCATTTTATTTTTTAATTATGAATGCAGTGTGATTCAG